ACTAGCAAGAATTGTCGGCAGGGGCAACACTGTGTTTAAGTAAATTGGTGGTCACTGTCTCCACCTTGTCATCAGGTAAACACCAATTCTTCCATGCCCAAACTGCAATAGGCTTGGAGGAGAATCTAAACAAAGGGAAATGCTGCCAGTGGGGATGTTTGTACACACCCAGCACAACTGTGAAAGGAGTGGGGCTGTGGCCAGCAGGTATTGTATATACACATCACCCAAGGATTTTGCCAGAGGGAAACATTCACATTCTCCACTTTCAGTCTGGCTGAGAGGCTCCATCTGCCAGGGTAGAATACATGGGCAGTGGCTCCGTGAACTCCCCAGTCACTGTGTAGACAGAACAGGCTAGCAGGGCAGAGTGCACCCTCTTACAGCCCTTGACCATGGGAGCGCTGGGTGCTGAGACTGTGAAAACACTGTGACTGCCTGGGAGGAGGCAAGGTGTAGCCTGGGTCTGGGCAAGCTCTGGATGCAGAGTCACATGCTGAAAACTCTTTGGTTGCCAGGGCAAATCCCTGTAGCAGGAATCATGCTCACAGAGAGGACTATGCAGATCATTTGTGTGGTTCATCCAGAAGTGCAGATGAGTGTTGAAGACACTGGGGACAAACACCTGAGCATTACTCAGCTTGGAGGGAAAGAGGTGAGAGGCTGATCACACCAACAAACGTGACCATCCTCCCTCCACTTCTGTTAATAAGAGGAGAGTTACCAAACCCAACTTGATTGTTACTCTGGATACTCACCCCACTCTAGAGCACTGAACAGAGGTCCCTGGAAACATCCGTCATACACCTCTTGGTATTCACTGAAAGTACAGACAATGCACATAGGCATAGCTCAAAGATACAACTCATCAGAGGAAACAAAAAAGAGCAATTACCTCCACAAGAGCCTAAAAATAAATGTAGAAAATTAGGAAATGAGAATAAGGAAGACATCATGGCCCTTCAGAGGAACACAACAATTTTTCAATATAGAATGTGAAGGTCAAGAAATGGATGAAATGATGAAAACAATTCAAAAAATTAGTCATAGGATTACTCAAAAGTAGTCAGAAGCAAATCCACAAGCTAAAGAATACCATATGTGACATGAATGAAAATTTTTCACATGAAATTGAGATTTTAAAGAGAAATCAAAATGAAATATTAGAAATGAAGAATTCAATAGATTAAATAAAAATGCAGTAGAAAGCCTTAACAACAGATTTGGAGAGGAAAAAGAAAGACTATCCAAGCTAGGAAGACAAATCTTGGAAATAATTCAGTCATACCAGAACAAATGAAATTAAAAAGCATAAAAACACTGTTTGAGATGTATGGATTACTATCAAATAATCCATATATATGAATTAGGAGGGTCCTGAAGGTGTGGAAAGAGAGAATGGAGGTGCCTGCTTTGTGGCATAGCAGATAAGCTGTCACCTGCAGGGCCAGCATCACAGTATGTTACTGGTTCGAGTCCCTTTGCTCCACTTCTGATCCAGCTTCCTGCTAAAGCCTGGGAAAGCAGTAGAAGATGGCCAAAGTCCTTGGGCCCCTGCACTGGTATGGGAGTCCGGAAGAATCTCTTGGCTCCTGGCTTCAGATCAGATCACTTTAGCTCCAACAATTGCAGCCAGTTAGGGAGTGAACCAGCAGATGGAAGACCTCTCTCTCCCTCTCTCTCTCCTCTCCTCCTCTCCCCCTCTCTCTCCCCCTCTCTCTCCCTCTCCCTCTCCTTCTCCTCTCTCTGGTGTAACTCTGACTTTCAAATAAATAAATCTTTTTAAAAAAGAATGACTCTCATACAGAAATCATAAACAACAAATGCCTGTGAGGATGTGGGGGAAATGGTACACTAATCCACTCTTGGAGGGAATGTAAACTGGTGCAGCCACTGTGGAAGACTGTGTGGAGATACCTCAAAGCTGTATATAGACCTAGCATATGAACCAGCCATCCCACTTTTGAGAATTTATCCAAAGTAAATGAATCAGTGTATTATAGAGTTATCTGTACCTTCATGTCATTGCAGCTCAATGTATAATAGCTAAGATATGGAATCATCCCAGATGTCCATCAACCGAATACTGGATTAAGAAATTATGCTATATATATATACACCACACACACACACACACACACACAGTATGGAATATCATGCATTGCTAAAAAATGAAAACCTGTAATTTGAAACAAAATGATTGCAACTTGAAACCATTATACTTAGTGAAATAAGCCAGTCCAAAAAGACAAATACCATATATTCTCTCTGATCTGTGCTAACTAGTATAGTACCTAAAGGTAATCTAGGGGAGTGAAATTGGCACTTTATCATGCAATGATTTTGAACAGTCCTAACTTGACTATTGAGGAACATTGCTTTTTGTTTCTTTTCTGCTTCTTATGATGTTTTTCTTCACACTATTGTTGATCCTTCTACTTAGTCTAGTTAATCTTATGAGTATAAAGTTAATTGAAAAGAGGTCTCTGTAAAAAATAAAAATGGGAGTGGTAGAGGGAGGAGGAAGAAGGATGGGAATATAGGTGGGAGGGAGGTAGGGTTATAATTATCATTAAGTTCCTAAATTTGTACATATTAATGGCATGAAATTACATCCCTTAAATAATATTAAAATAGGGCAATTAACATAATTTAATAAGACTAACAACAAAGCATGAAAAAATAGTTATTAATTTTTCTTTGAAAGGTGGAGCAGAGGGAAGGAGTGACCAAATGATACAGGGAGAGGGAGGTAGAGAAAAGAGCAGTTTTATGTATTGCTTCACTCCTCAGGATGGCCAAAATCCAGGTCCAGTATAGGCCAATGCCAGGACTCAGTAATTCCATGCAGGTCATCTCTTGAGCCAGCTTCATCTGCCTTCCCAGGTTCATAAACAGGAACATAGGTCAGAATCAGAGCAACATTGTTCTTGAATTGGCTCTTTATATAAGATGCCAATATTGCAAATTGTCACTTAACCAGCTGTTCCATAATTTCTGAAAGTTAATGGAAAATAAACTTAAATATTTACATATTTTTGTGAAATTCATTTTTAGATTCTTATACAGAAGGGTTACTCAAAAAGTTCATGTAACATTTTTATTGTTGGGTGTGGGTCTTTGGTCTCTCCATTAAGATAGCAGTTGTGAAGCCAGCATCACATTGAATCTGCCTAGATTTGAGTCTTTTCTTGTCCTGATTCATGCTGCCTACAAATGTGCATCCTGGTAGGCAAAATGTGATGACTTAAGTAGTGAGATGTCTGCCCTCCCTGTAGGAGAACCTGGGCTACCATCTCATCTCACAGCATTGCCTTGGCCCAGCCTTAGCCTTTGAGAGTAGTTGAGGAGTGAGCTAGTATATGGGAAATCTTCCTCTCTTCAATTCATATCAAAAATAGTCTTTATAAAAAATCAGACTTGAGGACTGGTATAAGGCATTGCTTGGCACACCGGCATTCCATATAGGAATATAGGCTCCTCTTTACTGACCATTACCTGGGAAGGCAGTAGATTATGCTCTAAGTGCTTGTGATCCTATCACCCATGCGGGTGACCAAAATAGAGTTTCTGTCTCCTGGTTTAAGCATAAGGAAAGATAAAGTGATATTTGAATTCTGAAAAACTGATGAACTATTTGGAATAAGTGAAAAGCTATTTTTAAAATTTTTAATTGTTACAAAATACTCCAAATAAATTGTGGTTCGATTAAAGATGAAATTGGGAGTAAAATGTAAAAAAAAATCATAAAACAATTATAAGGCTGGAGTAAATATTGGAGATCTGCATAAATGTGCTTTTATGTCTTCTGGAAAGTGTGAAACCCTTTTGCCTCCTAGGTTTACACTCGATGACACATACAACCACACTTTCTGAAATCACAAAAGTAGTCATTTGTGGTTGCTAGCTAAACTCTGATGGAAACCAGATGTGGTCTACAGTGATAGAGAAGGGGATGATGTGAGGGATCAGGAAATTTAGAAAGATGTTTTGAGGAAATTGTCTTTGGTGCAATGCCTTTAAGCATCCTGAAGTTTCCTGCTACTTGAGTCCCAATGCATTACAAAGACTGCTTCTCCACAAAGGAGTTTTTCTTTTACTAACAAGCATCAACAATCAGCCAAGTCCCACTTAGGCTCAGAGTGAGTGCAACCTCAAGATTTGTGAGCCCTGGATTGTGCATATGTTCCCTGAGCCACCTGGCACCTGGGCCTTAGTGTTCATGCACCAAGCCTGCAGCTGTGAGAGGTGCGCCCATGTACTAGTGTTTAGTGACATTGTTCTGCTGCAGTTGTACTGAATGTAGAGCCTGGAAAGCGTGGAGCTGCCCTGTGGCCACCTTGTGGGAACACCATTTGGTCTGTCTAGATCGCTAGGATTGGGATCCTGAGGCAGGTAAAAGTGGATGGGTTGTTGCGGTGTCTGTGAGGACACAGCCTCAGTGATGAGGGAGCTCCTTACCTTCATGAGTGAGGAGGGAGTCACTCTTGACCAGGTGCCCAGGTCATCCTTCTGAGGAGCAAACCCAGAACCGGAACCTTGGCTGATTCCCATGGACTCCTAATTCCCACTGATAGACGTTTATTTATCATTCGAGAGGGACTGTACCAACAAAATTTATATGGAATTTTCCTTTTAATATATACAATTAAAAGCCATATTGTTGTGCAATTTTAGAGAAGCACATGATCCAAAAACCACTTCCTATAATATGTCAACTTCTGGGCTAAAAATTATTTCAGTAAGGGCCAACTTTGTGGCAAAGAAAGTAAAGCCAGTTCATGTACAGCTGTTCCATTTCCAAACCTGTCTCTCTACTAGCTAACAGCCTGGAAAAAGCAGGGGAAGAGGGCCCAAGTGCTGGGGCCCTCTGTCCTAAATGGGACACCTGAAAGAAGCTCCTCTTTTCTGGCTTTGGCCTGGCTCAGCCTTAGCCATTGCAGTTGTTTGGAGAGTGAACCAGGGGTTGAAAGGCATTCACATTCATTGTCTTTTTCTTCTCTCTCTCTCTCTCCCTCCCTCTCTCTATAACTCTGAACTCTTCAAATAAAAATAAATAAATGTCTTTAAAAACATTCTTTCAGTAAATCCCAGTATCCATGTTATATCAGTGCACACCTCACTTGATGTGTGCATTTTTGAAGAGGGGGCACTGCAGTGAGAAGATGCCCCTGTGTTCATGGATAAGGAGGCTTATTTTTGTCAAAATGTTAGTACTTTATGTTTATTGCCTTTACCAAAACCACAAGGTTTTCAAATTTTAGAGTTACAAATGCTCTTCTACTGTTGTGATGATGTTTGTAATTTATTTTTAAAAAGTCCTTGTCTTTCTAGATATGACAAGGTATTGATTTCCACAAATTAATCATTTATTCAAAATTGGAAAGAAATGAACGAAAGAACAGAAAATCCAGAAACACTCAAATATAGGTAAGCATTTAGAATTTAATTTCCCAGTGGCCGGCACTGTGGCATAATGGGTAAGACTGTTGCCTGCAGTGCTGGCATCCCATGTGGGTGCCGGTTCAGATCCTGGCTGCTCTACTTCCCATCCAGCTCTCTGCTATGGACTGGGAAAGCAGAAGATGGCCCAGATCCTTGGGCCCCTGCACTCCTTGTGGGAGACCCAATAGAAGTGCCTGGCTCCTGAGTTCAGATTGGTGCAGCTTGGCTGTTGTGGCCAATTGGGGAGTGAACCAGAGATGAAAGATCTCTCTCTCTCTCTCTCTCTCTCTCTGCCTCTCCTTCTCTGTATAACTCTGACCTTCAAATAAATAAATCTTTAAAAAATTCATTTTCCAATTAGTTCCATATAGTTTCCAATAGTTCCATATTGTTGCCCTGTTAACTTAGAGAAATTAGCTTTAGGTTTTATGACCCTATAACTTTTATGATTCTGTGACTATTTTAAATTTGCATTATTTGAAAGGAGTTAAACATCTTTTCATTTGATTATTGTTTATATCCCTTTCTTTAACAGGCAGAGTGGACAGTGAGAGAGAGAGACAGAGAGAAAGGTGTTCCTTTGCTGTTGGTTCACCCTCCAATGGCCGCTGTGGCTGGCGTGCTGCGGCCGGCGCACCGCGCTGATCCGATGGCAGGAGCCAGGTACTTATCCTGGTCTCCCATGGGGTGCAGGGCCCAAGGACTACTGCACTCCCTGGCCACAGCAGAGAGCTGGCCTGGAAGAGGGGCAACCGGGACAGAATCCAGTGCCCTGACCGGGACTAGAACCCGGTGTGCTGGCACCACAAGGTGGAGGATTAGCCTATTGAGCCACAGCTCCAGCCTAGCATCCATCTTGATATGACCTTTTCACCTCATTCCACCACAGATATAATCATATGGCTTTTTTGTTCTTCATTCATTCATTTTGGTGTCATCTATTACCTTTGTTGACTTGTGAATGTTGAGATATCCTTGCATCCCTGGAATGAATCTCACCTGTACATGATGTATTATCTTGATGTAGTATTGGTTTTGGCTTGCTAATATTTTTGAGAATTTTTGCATCTATGGTCATCAGGGATATCAGTATGTAGTTTTTTGTGTGTTGTATCCTTCTTTTGTTTTGGTTTCATAGTAATACTGGTGTTAAAAAACAGTTTGACAGAGTTCTATTTTTTTCAATATTTTGGAATTGTTAGAACATATTTGAGTAATTTCCTCTTTTTTAAAATGATTCATTTGCAAGTGAGAGAGAGAGAGAAAATCTTCATTCCACCAGTTCACTCTCCAGATGACCACAGTGCCTGGGGATAGGCTACGCTGAAACCAGGAGCCAGGAGTTTCATCTGGGTCTCCCAGGTCGGGGGTAGAAGTCCAAGTACTTGGGCCATCTTCCCCTGCTTTTCTCAGGTCATTACCAAGGAGATGGATTGGAAGTGGAACACGAACCAACACCATAAGGGATGCTGGCATCACAGACAGTGGTTTTACCCACCGCACTGCAACACTGCTCCCAGATTTATTTCCTCTTTTTTTTTCCTCTTTTTGTAGAATTCAGCTGTAAAACCATCAGGTCCTGGACTTTGCTTTGTTAGGAAAAAATGTTGTTACTGCTTAGATTTAGGTATCATTGCTTATTACAGGTCTGTGTAAATTTTCTATATCTTCTTGAATTAATGTTATTAGGTTGCTTGTATCCAGTCATATATCCACTTCCTAAGCTTTTCCAATTAGTTAGCATATAGCTTCTTATGATCCATTGCACTTTATCAGTTGCAATGTTTCTTTTTTCATGCCAAATTTTGTTCATTTCAGTTTTTTCATTGTTTCTCTGACATGTTTGCCTCTTGTAATCAACTTTTTGAAAATCAGCTTTTCTTTTTGTTGATCTTTTGTATTGTTTTCTTAGTTTAAATTTAATGAATTCCTTCTCTGATCCTCATTGTTTCTACTGTCCTAATAATTTTTTCATGTTTTTTATTGCTCTTGTAAGTCTTTAAGATGCATCATTTGACTATTTATTTGAAATATTTCTATTTTAATGTATACACTTAATGCTATAAACTTTCCTCTTAACAATATTTCCATATACCATATGTATTTTTGATATGTTGAATTTTCATTTTCAATTGTTTCAAAATATTTCTTTAAAATTCCTTTAATGAGCAACTTGTCATTCAAGAGCATGTTGCTCAATTTTGGTATGCTTGTAAATTTTCCATTGTTCTTGTTGATTTCTAGTTTTGTTTCTCTGTGGTTTAGAAGATATAAAGCAGTTTTAAAACATTATTGAGATTTAGTTTCCTGCCCAATATATGGACAATCCTAGAAAATCTTCCATGTATTTATCAGAAGAATATGGGTTGCATAATTGTTGGATGAAATTTTCTGTAAATATTTGTTAGGTCAATTCGTTAAATAGTGTGGTTGAAATCTGGTGTATATTTCTTGGTTTTCTTTCTTTAAGATTTTTTTAAAATTTATTTATTTGAGAGGTAGAGTTACAGACAGTGAGAGTGAGAGGCAGAGACAGAGAAAAGTCTTTCTTC